TAAACTTTCAAAATTAATTTTAATTTGCATATTTTGACCCCTCAGTACTCTTGTCATAATTCTTCTTGCTGTGCACGTAGCTCTGCCTGCCATATGCAAAGACCTTATGTTTGTTTGATTCTCAGCTCCACACAAAATAAGTAAAATTTAAAAAACCAAAACACACTTCTTGCCACCTACAGGAAAAAGAATCAGTTCTACATGCTTACTTTTCTAGTCTAGACTGCCAACTCCAAGAGCAGCACCTCTGCACAGATAATCTTCTAATCTACAAAGCCTCTAAATCCTAAGCCTGCTCTACATATTGCCCTCCATCTCACATCCACCACGGGCTCCCCCCCTTCAGGCCTTCTTAGGATAGATGTTCTTCTTAGACTGTTTGGTTTACGTTGGTAAGGTCCTATAACAGAAGCTACATAGGCTGTGCCCTCACATCAAGCCATTGACTGACATTCACTCTTCTGCCATTAGAAAGTCTACTTTAAAAGTCTTAATTTACAATGTTTACACTTAACAGAGAAAACAACCCCAGATGCTCTAAGTACAAAAACAAACATGGCTAACTCAAGTTCCCAAATTTTTTAGAAATACTACTACCACAAGATACCACAGACAGCTACCATCTTATAATATAAGCACACAAGTCAGTACACTACCACTGACACTTAAAGGAAACATTCTGTGATCTGAGTTTACTTTCCAGCATATCCTTCTACAATGCTGAGTTAAAGCCAAATAAAAAGAATGCACATTGCATGACTACTTTATAAAACTTCCAAACATAGGCAAAATATGTTTGTGTCTCAAGTTAGGACAGTGTCTCTCTTTGGATGGTGGTGACTAAAAAGTAGTAAGAAGAAACTTCCAGGGCACTAAACAGGCTCACTGACATTCACAATTTGTGGGGCTGCTGAAGTTCAGTGTTGGAAGGCATGAAGTATATGCAGGGTACTGGATTTAATCTCCAACACACAAAACAATAAAAGGTATTCTGTATTGTTAAAAAGGTATCTGAATTAAGTATGTGTTTAATAAAAGATTACAAAAGTAACTCAATCAGCACAATGAAACTATACTGTTTTAATACATTTTGTTCAAGAAAATATCCAGATCATATTGTAACACATTGTATAAACTTAACATTATAAATCATGATACCGTTTCTATTTCATGAGAGTTTAGTAATTAAAGAAATAGCCAAAATTTCTTTCACAGCCATCAACAATCTAACACTACTGTCATCTTTTTGAAACTGATCCTATTAGTCATGCAGGTTACAAATAACTTAAAAAAAAAATCTAACCAAAATAACAAAAACCTAATATAGTGCTTCATTTTTACTGTTCTTATTACTAGTTGTGAACTGTATTTTTAAAGAACAGGTGTAAATGGGGTCTGTCTAATTTGCTGAGTTAGCTTCTACTGGTGTGGCAAAAACGCTAGGAGCTCTAAAATATGCATGTTTTCACCCCCAAAAATGTCTCTGTCCAGTTAAAACAATGAAATTCGTCCACTTTCCTTTATTAAAGGAAAATTTAAGTATGCTATAAAATTCTCCAGTTAAATTTTAACCTGAGGTTACCTCAGACTGTGCAATGTGTACCTGCACAAACTGAATGTGGTCATCATCACTGCCAAACACCTCAGCCTGTCCATCTAGTGGGTTCCCATCAAGCAGCTTGTGATCAGCTGAGTAGTACAAGGTTTGAACCTGCAAAACAGCAACAGAACACCCATGTGGCTACTGTCACCATGGCTACTCGCTAGTATGCAGATTACAATCGCCTCAAGGTAACCTCCAGTGTGCTTCTTGACATCTTACTCTGGCAGGATCCCGAAGTAAAGAAAAACACATGTCATGGTGGTAAAAATGTAAAAAGCAAAACCAAAACAAAAAAACCAAAATGAAACAAAAAAAATCAAAATCAAATACAAAATCTTCTAATATTGGCTGGAGAGTCCTTGGCTTGATTGGCTTGAAAGAAATCTTCATTGTTTTCATAGCTTCTATTATAGGACATTAAGAAAAGAAAAGGCATAGTACAACATATATTCTTAAATATACATATTTACAATAAAACACTAAATAGTTTACACCTCTGAAGACAAATGGCATGGTTTGAATAAATGTACTTCTCTCCTGTTGGTATGTCAAGAAAACACATAAAGAAGAAACAAATGCAAGTTGCAATCTTCCTCCACAGATGCAAACACACGACCAATGCATCTGATTACCATGTGGGAAGTCACAGAATTTAAAGAGGACCTGCTAGCCTTTTTAGAATGCAGTAATGGGAGTGACTGAGGCCTAACAGAGGAGGTAAACTTCAGTGAGCATGGAGGGCTTCTGTGGAGTGTTAACTCAAAATTACTCCACTGCTCCAACCGACACATGGACCAGTCCCAACTTTTCCATCAAATTTTGTGTATTTTTAAAAAATAGTCCCAAGTTAATTGACTATATGTATGAACAACACCATTGAAAAATCACAAAGCTTTAGAGTAAGAACCCTGTAAAGGAGTAAACACCATTAAATCATCATCGTCCTCTGCCCACAGCGGACTTTTCTTAGGAGAAATGGGGCAGGACTGCTGCTTCTTTACGTGTCAATACACTCGAGGTTCTTCTCGGCTCTTCAGTCTTGGGGATCCTAGTTTTGTTAATAAACCTATGGGGAGATAAACCAATGGGGAGGAACAACCATTAGAAGCTTTACCTACTTGTCAAATTTAAAGCAAAAACCTGTGAAGAAAAATTAAGAATCTACAGAAAATGTCAGTACCACCTCCCATTTCTAAAGCAAGTTACATGCTACTTTAAGGAAAGTTTACAGCACATAATAAGCAAAGAAAAAAGGGAAAAAAAAAGAAAAGCAGAAAACCAAACTGAACAGTTCATTCAGCTCACCTGGACACCCCCCCTGTTTCTCAGCTTAGGGGTACCTATAGCAAAATTTAAATTCTTTAGGGTCATGGTTATAAAATAAAAGTGAAAGGGAATCCTTCATGTTATAGCAAAAATAATTTGTAAGAACTGTTGGATCCCATTTACTTTAAAACTAACCTCTTCCATGAGCTCTTCCAGGCTGTCTCCATTCTCCCAGATGCTACGCTGCACCCAGTTGATTACCTTTGTGTACAATTTGCCATTGCTGGGCAAGCAAACGTTATCTTCAAGCATTACCTCCAACTAGAATTACAAATAAATAAAACAAAAACCAGTGACATCCACATCAGCTTTGAAATTCTAGTCCTCAGCTTAATGCTCAGTTTCATAATAAATATTTTATTCCCAGGGCAGGGGAGTGGGGCTCATGAGCCCCACCACTAGCTGAGGAGCTACCAACAGTCGATGGTTTCTAGGGAGGGAGGTTTCTTGCAGGGTATAGCTCCTGGGGGCTCATCCTAATCCAGTGGATTGCCCCACACATCAGTAGCAGGCAGCACAAACAAGAGTTAAAATATATGAGAAGATATGGAGTTGAGTGTGGATCAGGGAGTGAATATGGTAAAAACATACTGTATGCTTTTTTTTAATTCTCAAAAATAACATTAAAAAGCTGCATTCCATAAAGTTCCTTTAATTTGCAACAAAATCAGTAAGCCTACATAAAAAGGAAATAAAACTGGAAGCAGAAACCCATTACACTAAGAGTAACAACCACTTCAACGTATCACTTATTCATCTGACAAATGCCAATCTCTATGACAAATGCCAATCTATATGACCCATCTGGTCTGCTCCTTACCTTTAGTCTTGGAAGCTTAAGAAATTCCTCCTCTTCTGAAATTTGTAACAAATGCTCCTGAATATAAGCATCAACCTTATTCAACAAACGGGAGTCTCCCATACAACTTGCAAAATTTCGGTAAGAGATGCAGCTAGTAACATCCATTCTAGATAGTAAATAATCTCCACAGACCTTGAAAAGAAATACAAGTGTGCCATTTGCATATACTTTATTGAATATTTAATGTAAATAACACGTGAAATACAAAGACAAGCCAGAAATCAAACCAAACAATGGGATAGCATTGAAGTTAACAATGGGACAGCACATGTACAAATTGTATCAGCTGGTATGGTGGTGCACAGATGCCTGGAATCTGGGGCACTTGCAAGGCTGACTCAGGAGAAATCTAAATTCAAACTCAGCCTGGCCTACAGTAACAAGATGTCTGAAAATAAAACCAAACAATGAAAAGCCACATCAAAACGTAACTTGTTAAACAGCACATGTAACAAGTGGAACTGTAGTACAGGTTTTGGAGGTTTTCAACAGTAGCAGTCAGGTAAGGTTTTCTGGAAGTGGGCTCTACAGCGCACATGGAATGTAGTAAAAGGGAAGGGAATTAAGAAGTAATTTTGGAAAAAGAACATCCGTATTAGGAAGAAGCTGCAATGTAAAACTACATGTGCATCATGGGACTTTTGTTAAAATTTACTCTGCAGGTATACATGAATGTATGTGTGGTGTGGGGCTTCATACATGGAGATCAGAAGACAACTTTGTGGAATAGATTGTCTGCTTTTACCTTTTGCATGGGTTAGAAATCAGGTCACCACTGCTTGACACAGCAAGCACCTTCACCTGTTGAGCCATCTTGCTGGCCTAATTATAGGATTTTTTTTTTAAAAAAGGTTAATTTATTTTCATTTTATGTGTATAGATGTTTTGCCTGCAGATATGTTTGCCTGCCACAAGAGGGCATTAAAACGTTTGGAACCAGGGTTACAGATGGTTATGAGCCATCTTGTGGGTGCTTAGAACTAACTGAACCTAAGTCCTCTGCAAAAGCAACAAGTGCTTTAGGCTTGTGGGCCATTTTGTCTGTCACAACTGTAACTCTTGTCTGTGTGACTATAAAGTAAAGATCATGTATCAAATCCACATAGCTGTTCTTCATAAAACTTTATTAAGAAAAAAAAGCCTAGCCCTTGAAGAGAATATGGTTTGCTGGTCCTTACTCATTGCTGCCTTCTCTGCTTCCAATTTCAGTGACTTGGGTGCTGAAGAGGTGGCTGACGTTACTTTCACCAGAGCTCCCACTCAGTGCTCTTCCAGTCGACCTGAGTTTGGTTTCCAGCACCCATATCAAGAGGTAGCTCACAACCACTAGTAACTAGCTCCTGGGCACTCAATGTTTTCTTCTGGTCTCTGCAGACACCTTCTCACTTGTGTGTAGAACCTACACACACACATATTAACCCATGCCATTAGATACGTTATACCGCTGTAATTCTATAAGATTTCTTTTGCATAGCTCTAGGGTGAATATCCAATATTGAAACTATGCCCAAGCCAGAGGTTCATGTCAAGATCAAGCCAACAGTTCTGCATAGTAACCTTACAGTACAAGTAATGCTATTTAACATAGTGTCAAAAATAAATATATCCACTGTAGAAGAGATAGAGCATTTTGTAGAACTTGATTTCCCAGTACTATGTCATCACCACAGAAAAACACAAGTATTTTAAATAAAAAAACTGAATGGAAAATGCCAGAAAAAACTGCCAGTCAAGAGACAGGTGATCCTTTTACATTACTAAAGCCCAGAGATCAAAACAGCATACTGGGTTGAAAGAGGAAGGCACAGAATTTCCAAATTCATTTTTTTTTTTGAGGGTTTCTCTGTGTAACAGCCCTAGCTGGTCTCAAACTCACTGAGATCCACCTGCCTCTGCCTCCCAAGTGCTGGGGTTAAAGGCATGTGCCACCACCACCCAGTCCAAATTTATTTGGGGGGGGGGGAGTGATTTCGAGACAGGGTTTTCCCGTGGCTTTGAAGACTGTCCTGGAATTAGCTCTTGTAGAATAGGCTGGTCTCAAACTTACAGAGATTCACCTGCCTCTGCCTCCTGAGTGTTGGGACTAAAGGTGTGTGGTACCACCACCTGTCCCCAGTCCAAATTCTTAATAAAATTTTTTATAGCTGGGTGGTGGTGGCGCACGCCTTTAATCCCAGCACTGGGGAGGCAGAGGCAGGCGGATCTCTGTGAGTTCAAGGCCGGGCTGGACCGACAGCCTCCAAAACAATACAGAGAAACCCTGTCTCATAAAAAAAAATTGTTATAGCCTAATAAAATGTTTCATGACAATTCCTCCATTCTAACCCCACAGAACACCCTTCCAGTCTACTACTGTCACAACTTAGAATACTCTTACCTGCTTTACTCGGTCCATTTTCAACTTCTTTGCTGCAGAATAAACATCTTTTACTAACTCCTTATCAGCTTTCAACCTATTTAAAAGAAAAAAAAAAGAATTTTTGTTTGTTTGTTATAATACCAAGGTTTTAAAATTCAGTTACTTGGTATTTTCTGACTCTCTGGTTCCCTTCAAGGTACTCACTGAGCAGTGTATGCATAGTTCAGCAAGACTTCAACAGCTTCCGGATTGAGATCATCCAACTTTACGTGAGAAACTCCATGAGGGTCACTGTCACTATTAAAGATTTCAAACAGATATGGGCTGCAGCAAGCCAGGACTGCCCTATGTGCCAGCATCTCATGGCCACAGACCTGAAATAATGAAAACTAAAATGAGAAGTCTTGTGAACGATGCGTTACTCTAGATAATTAACACACCAGGTCTCCCATTTCTAGTTAAAACAGTCATAAAAGAAAAAACAAAAGTCATCTCATAGCTGGAAAGATGTCTCAACAGTTAAGAGCATTGACCACGCTTCCCAAGGACCAGCACCCGCATGGTGGCCCACAACCATCTGTAACTCCACTACCTGGGAATCCTATGTTCTCTTCTCATCTCCATGGGCACTGTACACATGTGGTACAAAGACATACATGCAGGTAAAACACCCATACACGTAAAAGAAAAAAATTAATTCTCAAAAGAAACCTGTTTGGAGAGGAAAATCCAACTTATGTCTTTTATGATGTTTACCTTTCTAGTAACAAAAGGTAATAAACTGAGTTTACATACCTGAAGTCGAACATCACAGAACTGCCCACTTTTCCTTAGGGCATTTAATTTGGCAACAGAAGATTCAATAAAATTTTCATCTTCAAACATCAAATATCCATTGGGAATCATTTTTTCTTATAAATTTGGCTAAACAGAAAAATGAAAGCTAATTGTTTTACATATAAATAGTTTTTAAAAATTTTATTTTCAATCAGGGAAGCAAACAGGCAGGTAGAGCCCTGAGTTTGAGGTCAGTCTGGTCTACACACACATAGAGTTCAAGGCCAGCCAGGTTACACAGTGAGACTCTGTTTCAAAGAAGAGTGTGTGTGTTTGTGTGTTCAAACAGAAAACATCTTCATACCAAAATTCTGTCTTACCAACACACCAAAAAATTCACCACAGAATAACCTGCCTGAAACAACACTGATTCAGGGTGCTCATGTTTTGCCCAGACTCTGACTTCAACAGTTTAGAGGTGGTCATACAGCATTGGACATCTCAAAAACCATGCCTGATACACATTCCTTCTAAAGGAGGAAAATGAAATGCTGTCCAGCCCGAACCTATATAAGGGGTGGCTTTAGAGTACGTGTAGATTTTCTGGACTTCCCCGATGTCCTTCCTTTACTGTGATAAAAATGTTCATTTTTTGACACATCTCATACAGCCCAGTCTGGCCTTAAATTCAGAATGCAGTAGGGACTGGCTCTGAACTCCCCAATGCCCCCTTCCCTTACTAGAGGATGGGATTGCAGGCCATGTGCCCCTACTCCTGGCAAAATTAATGTTCTTTATGAAGACACCATTTCCCACATACAACACTGGAAATAGAACCTAGGTCTCATATATGCTAAGTAGGCACTTTCATGGAGGTACACCTTCAGCCTAACGATCTCAAAAATGTTTTTCAACTTAACTTACAAAACTAGTGGCAATATAAAAGTGGTAGAATGTCTTAAGGTCTCACTTTAAGGCAACTTAAAGGTCAAGGTAGTTTACAGAAAGGAAAACTAATGGATGAAAGAGAAAGGAAGAAATATTTATATTTTAATTTCAAAGAAATTTTTAAAAATGCTTTTCAGGTGCCTGCAAGATGCCTAAAAAGATTAAGGTGCTTACCACCAAGCCTAATGACTTAGAATTCAACCTCCAGAACCCACATGGAAAAAGGAAACTGACTCCCTTAACTTGTCTTCTGACCTCGATACTCTTCTCCCCCTACTACACACTCTCTCTCTCTCAGTCACTCGCATGTATTCACATACTATTATACATTTTTTAAATGTTTCTTAGTCAAATGATTAGGGACCACTCTGACCTTTTAATCATTAATAGATTGATTTTATACTCAGTACAATTTTTGGGAAATCTGTATCTTCAAAAATATATATTTAGTATTATATGTAGGGAAAGCATGCCCTAGCCCCAGTGTGTATAGAAGTCAGCGGCAACTTTGTTCAATCCATTCTTTCCTCCACATTTACCTGAGTTTCCAGGAAGCAAACTCAGGTTGCAGGCTTGTGCAGAAAAGTGCTTTTTCCCACAGAACCAGTTCATGACCACCCCCCCAACACACACAGTTAATGCTAGACATGCAGAATATTTACTTACCAACTATTACTGATGAGAAAAGTGTCACTGAGAACGCAAATGATCCAAAGACAAAGGAGTGTTGAAACAAAGCACTTCGTTAAGGTATGAAGAGAGGTGGTTGTGTGAAAGTAGATGTCTTAGGCTTTAATGGTGTTTCCAAAACTATCAGGCTTGAAAATGATGTAATCAAGTCCTTAAAAGCTATAGACATGAATTTCTTCTGTGATAATCATGCATCATAATCTGTAAAATAGCATATCTAAGTTAGATATTCATAATAAAATAATCAGTTTGCCATTCATCTGGGTAGAAAAATAGGTCATACAAAGTAAGTCAACCTTTGAGGTAAATGGCAAAAAATATTCACACTATATTGAAAAAAAATCACAAACCACAAACAATTCCTTTTCATTTAACATGCATATACTCAAAAGTGATTTTTTTTTTTTTTGGTTTTTCGAGACAGGGTTTCTCTGTGGCTTTGAAGGCTGTCCTGGAACTTGCTTGGTAGTCCAGGCTGGTCTCGAACTCACAGAGATCCACCTGCCTCTGCCTCCCGAGTGCTGGGATTAAAGGCGTGCGCCACCAACGCCCGGCCTCAAAAGTGATTTTTAAAAAATGCTTTCTCATTGTTCAAGAGGGATATGCTAGTCTGAGAAATATAAATATTAACTCTAAAAATCTTTACTATTAGATTCCAGTCAATATGCAAATAGGAGATGGCTGCTTTAGGATCCAGGAAACCACCTCTGGGCACCATTCCCAGACATACACACTGCTACAAGCCAGATACCCTGTTCCCCAAAATGCTTGGCATTTCACCCCTGCCTTTGTTTCAAGTTGCCTCTCTACCTAGAAAACCCTTAAGCCAACCAACCCCTGACAGATGAACTCTCCCTACCACAGAGCCTTTGCCAAGAGCTAGAAAGCAGTGTTCCCCAGACTTCATTCAGAACCTTCTCTGAAGATATGCATGATTGTCCAGAATTATCTCTTCTGTGCTCTGCTTCCAGGCAAACCCTCTGCCATGTTTGGTTTTTTGTTTGCTTGTGTTTGAGATAGGATTTCCTCTGTGTAGCCTTGGCTGTCCTGGAACTCAGAAATCCACTGCTTCTGACTCCCTAGCTCTGGAACTAAATGTGTGTGGTGCCGCCACCACCTGCTCTGCCGCCACCACCTGCTCTGCTTGCCTTGTTCATTTTTGACGATAGTCTGACTTGCATGAGACGGTCTTAAAAACAAAATCTACACACCAACTCTTATCACACCATCATATAATGTTGATTTGTTATTTACAATTTCTACCTTTTCTTATGAAACTAGTTTAAACAAAACAAATGTTCTCTGAAAACAGGTAATTCCATCCCCCATGTACACAGAGAACACACTGGAGATTTATAAACATTTTACATTTGAATCAATTTTACTTAGTATATGCCTGAAAACTTATCTTGACCTAATCAAGAATAAAAACGGCACTGTTTATTACTTTTTAAATTTAAGATTTTTGTCTTTTATTTTATATGTATGAGTATTTTGCCTGTATGTCTATACACCATGTGTGCAGTACCCTTGGGGGCCAGAAGGGGGCAGTGAATACTCTGAAACTAGAGTTACAGACAGTGTGATCTTGGATGCTAGGAATTGATCCTGGGGTCCTCTTGAAGAGTCAACTTCCAGACAGATGTTTATTATTTTGATAATTTGGATGTTCTAACTTAGGCTTATTGTGGGGGGAGGGCATTAAAATTACTATAGTCTTTAAAGAGAAAACCTTGTTTAGAATTTCTGGAGTCATTCTGGCATATGCACTTATACAGTATCATTTTGAATTTTGTGAAATAAGATCTTTTCATTTAGTACCTGACTTTCTGCCTATTAAGATCTTAACATAAGAGAAAGGCATGATAGCACAAAAGTCAGTCAATATTCCTAGCACTTGGGAGTAAAATGGGAGGATTAAGAGTTCAAAATCAGCTTGAGTTACATAGTGAGTTTAAAGGCTGGCCAAGGGCTACATGAGACTCAAGGAAAAAACAATATGAACTTTACTTTTATCATCATCTAC